TTAACAGCTTAAACAGACCCATAACACAAAAAGAAATCCAAACAGTAATACAAAACCTCCTGACCAAAAAAATCCCAGGACCAGATGGATTTACAGCAGAATTCGATTGGACATTTAAAGAAGACCTGCATCCAATACTACTTAATTTATCCAAAAAAATAGAAATGGAGGAAGAACTTCCAAATTCGTTCTATGAAGCCAGCATCATACTTCATTTTGATCAAAGGAACAATAAATCAAGAAGATATTATAATCATGATCATATACTCAACAAATTCTGGTGCACCCAACTTCATAAAAACAATACTACAGGACTTTAAAACCCAGATTAACCCCAACTCATTAATAGTAGGGGACTTTAATACCCCACTGTCTCCATTAGATAGGTCACCAGGTCAGAGAGTTAACAGAGAGACATCTGAATTAAACAATACCATGTATCAAATGGACTTAACAGATATCTAACGAGTATTCCACCCAAGCACCAAAGGACGTACTTTATATTCAGCACCCTATGAACCGTTCTCCAAAATTGACCATATATGTACTTGAAACTCTTGCAAGAGCAATAAGACAAAGAAGGAAATTAAAGGAGTGAGAATTCGAAAAGAAGAGGTCAAATTATCCATTTTTGCAGATGACATGATATTAAATCTAAGGGATGCCAAAAATTCCACCCAAAACTCCTAGAAATTATTAGCACGTTCAGTAAAGTGGCAGAAGTACTTGAAACTCTTGCAAGAGCAATAGACAAGAGAAGGAAATTAAAGGAGCAATTATTGGAAAAGAGGTCAAATTATCCCTTTTTGCAGATGATATGCTATCTAAGGGATGCTAAAAATGAATGATGAATGGGTCAAAAGAGAAAATAAGAAAGAAATAAAAGTATTCCTGAAATTAAATGAATGAAAAGGACAATAGCTCTATATACCAATAACAAGCAATCAGAGAAAGAGCAAATGGAAACACTCCCATTCACAATAGTTCCAAAAACTCACTATTGCTGCAAAAACATTAAAATATCTTGGAATAAACCTGACCAAAGACATTAAAGAGCTCTACAATGAAAATTTTAAATTTTTAAAGAAAGAAATTGAGGATGACATCAGAAGATGGGAGGACATGCCAAAGATATTAAAGAGCTCTACAAGGAAAATTTTAACTCTTTAAAGAAAGAAATTTAGGAAGACATCAGAAGATGGAAAGACCTCCCATGCTCATGGATTGGAAGAATTAATATTGTGAAAATGACCATCCTACCAAAAGTAATTTATAGATTCAATGCAATGTCAATCAAAATCCCTATGACATTTTCACAGAATTGGAAAAAACCATCCTAAGATTCATATGGAAGCACAAAAGACCTCAGATAGCCAAAACAACCCTGAGCACTAAGAGCAATCCTGGGGGTATTACTATACCAGATTTCAAGCAGTATGCTATAGTCATAAAACAACATGGTACTGGCACAAAAATAGATCCATACACGAATGGAGCAAAACTGAAGATCCAAATATAAGTAATAGCAATTTTAGCCACCTGATATTTGACAAAGGGGCCAAGAACATTCACTGGAGGAAAGACAGCATGTTCAGCAAATGCTGCTGGCAAAACTGGATCTCCACTTGTAGAAGAATGAAACTAAAACCCTATCTTTCACCCTGCACAAAAGTCAATTCCAAATGGCTCAAAGACCTCAATGTAAAGCCTGAAACTCTG